GCGAGACTCCGTCTCCAGAAAAAAAAAAGAAAAAGAAAAGGTGAGTCATTCGATTTTCAATGCAAAGGAATATTTATTTACACACAAGATTAGTATATTTCATAAGGTAGATGTAATATTAAATATACAGCCACATCATCAAAAGGTAAAAAATAACATGAGTAATAATTATGAAAGCAACTGTATTAGAGATTAGAATATAAAACTGTATCCATAAAGAATTTTTCAATTTACAAAGCACTTTTTCATGTTATGCCATTTTATGGACCTTCACAAAAACCCTAACTCACGGTACTGATTATCACTAAAAAAAAACCTTTCGAAAAAAGTGCAACATAAATCAGACATAACTCTAACTAGACTGGCACAAAGAATACAAGTATTTTGTTTATGCCAATAAAGCAGCTTGCTTTTTACTACTGAATTACTCCTAAAAAGTGTATGAACTTAAGTGAATTGAAATACGTACTTTAAATGTAACTAGAGATTAAATAGGATGACCTTGCAGTTAAATACAACAAAATCTGGAAACTTAGCAGAAGTTATTTAAAAAACAAAAGTAAAAAAACGTTAAAAGCAGTTTTACTGCGGTAGTAGGTATATGTGCAATTTTTGTTTTTTTTAGTTTGTTATATACTTGCTACCTCTCAAAACACATCTTTTTAAGAAAACATTGAAGCAATAAAAAAATCCTTTAGAAATCGTAAAAGTATTTTTGGGGATAGAGATGAAGACTATTACCATGGAGTGTTTTATTACTTTCTAAAAAGATTCATCACAAGGTTCCACACAAAAGTCAAATACCTGGTTCTAATCTATAACATATGTTTCCAGTTTAAATTGGCCTTTAAAAGCAGTGTCTTGTTTTTCAGAAAAAAGTAGAAATTCACCACACACATACACAGATGTCGATAGCTAAGAGGGAAAATGTTTAAAATTTAAGTTTATATACTCTTTAGCAGTTGCCTCTGTGTTAAATATTTTAATCTATTTCCTTAAGTATAGTTCACTCTAACAGTTCCACATATACCTACGTGGAAAAGAATTATCTAAGAGCAACTTACTAAGTGATTTGTTTCAAAGATACCCTCTTAGAAGATTATGATAACTTTATGTGATGTTTTACCTACTTTCAGTTTCATTTCTCTTGATCATGCCTTGGCACTCAGCTAAGATAGTCTCTTTAAATGATGTCACCAGGGCATTTACACAGCATTCCATGAGCTGAAATATATCAAAAATTAGTCAAGGCTACTATATAGGCTGTATAGCACAAATCTATTCCAATTCACAAAATAAAACAATATTGTCCAATAGAAAAAAACAATTATACTGAAAGTAGATTTCACTTACCTTTACTATAGGATTATTGAAGATGGATATGCTACACTAGTTTACCAAAGTATATTTTCCCCTAAAGAAAAAAACTACAGAACTAGACTGTCTTTAGACATTTTAACAAAAGTCCTCAAGGAGAGGAGAGAAAAATATACAAAATAAAAATATACAAAACCAAACTTTGATTAACTCTTCCTGTCTGGAGAGAACTTGTTTTAGAATTAGGTTATAAAATTCTAGAAGTGTGAATACATTCATTCAACAAACCATTATTGGATGCCTACTACATGCAGGCACCAAAGAAGTATTTAGGAGACAAGAATAAGATACAATTCCTCCTCTCAAAGAGATCACTGTCTAACTGAGAGTGAGGAGGGCAGTAAACCTACACTGCTAACTAAGTATAACTCAGTTAAGTGGCATCATACACATACACAAACACACATAAAATAAAAACAAACTTAGAAACTACTTTTTTCTAGGGTAGTTAAAACGGCCTCATCCACAAGTTGATATCTAAATGGGATCCTGTAAAATAAGTACAAGCCCTAAAATGGGTTACATATTCTAGGAATACCAGGAAGCTTAAAATAGTAGAGAAGAGATAGACAGTGGAAGAGAAGGCTAGAAAGATAGGCTGCAACCAGATTATGAATGAAAACCTATGATTTGGGGTTTTATTTCATAGGTAGGGAAGGAAGAACAAAGGAAGGTTTTTTTGTTTAAGAGAAAGGATCTTGCTCTGCTGCCCAAGCTGGAATACAGTGGCATTACTACATAGCTACTATCATACCTCACTACAGCCTTGAACTCCTGGGCTCAAGTGATCCTCCTACCTCAGCCTCTCGAGTAGCTAGGACTACAGGGATATACTACCATGTCTGGTTAACTTTTTAAACTTTTTTGTAGAGATGATCTATTGCTATGTTCCCCAGGCTGGTCACAAACTCCTGGTCTCAAATGATCCCCCTGTCAGCCTCCCAAAGTGTGGGATTACAGGTGTGAACCATCAGGCCTGGCCCCAAGGAAGTTTTAAACAGAGGATAAACACAATGAGATTCTCGTCTCCTCAAGTCCTTATTAAAGATCAGTGTAATGGTAGCAAGGCAGGTGGTAAGGAGTGGGTGGTTGGGATATGGTAATGAGCCTGCTGAACTATTTCAGGTAAGACAGCCAGGGTCTAGTGCTCTAGGAGGCCATCAGGAAAATCTAAATGAGGCAGAAGAAATCATGTTCATCCCTGCTCCCTCATGTCATGTAATTATTTACTTCTCTTTTGGGGATCAGATGAAATCAATAGGTTGTGAGGACTAAAGCTAAGTACAATAAGGATGCTATATCTCTTCTGAAAAACAGAGATCATCTATCTCTAAATTACGGGAGGGAATTATGTGTCTCTTAAAAATTTTTTATTAAAAATTCCTTTGGAATTGACACAATGTTGATAGCTACTGAAGTTGAATTTAGGTAATGGGGATTCATTACACTGTTCTTCCTACATTGTAAAAATGCTTAAAATTTTCCAAATACAGAATTTTCTGTGGTCCCTGGGAGTTGGGGGGCTGAGGAGGGAGGATCACTTAAGCCTGGGAGGTCAAGGCTGCAGTGAGCCTTGATCGTGTCACTGCAGTGTAGTCTGGGCGACAGAGCAAGACTGTCACAAAAAATAATAATAATAAAATAAAATAAAATAAAAAAGGTTTTTTTCAGGCTCCTCTACAAGAATGATGTTGATGACTTTTAAATGCACATATCCATGTATATTTCTGTACTAAGAAAGTAACAACACATGGTTGGGAGTGGTGGCTCTCGGCCTATAATCCCAGCACTTTGGGAGGCCAAGCCGGGCAGATCACCTGAGGTCAGGAGTTCAAGACCAGCCTGACCAATATGGAGAAACCCCATCTCTACTAAAAATTAGCCAGGCATGGTGGGCGCCTGTAATCCCAGCTACTCGGGAGGCTGAGGCAGGAGAACTGCTTGAACCTGGGAGGTGGAGACTACAGTGAGCTGAGATCGTGCCACTGCACTCCAGCCTGGGCAACAAGAGCGAAACTCCGTGTCAAAAAAAAAAAAAAAAAAAACACATATAAAGTGGTAAAGAAACTCTTGCCTTGCAAGGTGGAAATCTCTGCCCCAACTGCTGAGTATCATATTCTATAACATTGCTGGAATAGGCCCAACTAAACACTTCCACCTTCAGCAGTGAAACCAGATTGAGCACAGGTAAATCTAACTATATAACTAACAAAGAACAAAGACAAAGTGGAATCTTAGTAAACTCTAAGCTCTGCGTTTTCTATTTCATTGAAAACTTTCACTTGAACATTATTCTGTTCAGCAGTAGTTGAAATTTTGCAGATTCTAAAAATCCCCAGTGTGTTTCAGACTATACGTTGTGAAATCAGTTTTAATGACTGTGACCAGGTTTTTTTTTAAAAAAAAGTACACAGGATAGAACAAAAAATATCAGTGTATCACACATTGTAACAATGAATATTATTTCATAAGACTTTTGTTTCAGATATGTACAAATAAACAGTATATTCTAAGCCACAATATAAAATGTATTTCTTATTGTGAGTTACAACTAGGATTAAAAGGAGAAGCTAAATTGACAACATAATTAAACTGAGAAAAATTTGGTAAATGCTTAAATGAAAGGGATTAGGGAAATCAAAGGTTGTTGAATCCGTTTCTAGCTTGAGAGGTTAAACAAATTATTATACCAGGTATCTTTTAATGAGCACTTACTTTATACCAGGCATTATGCTAAATGCTTTACATATAGATCTTATTTAACCCACACGGCAACCTCATGAGGCAGATACTTACTTTATGAGGACACAGACTGAGAGTAGCTACATAACTTGCAAACGTTGCACAGTTGGCTCATAAGGTCTTGAGTTATCATTTAAGGCCAGGTATGTATCTCCCTAGCTTCCAACTTTTCTTACTACAGAAGTAGAGCATGTACATACTTAGTAATGGCTACATGCTCAGAACTGAGTTATGTGTTTTAAGGAATAGAGAAGTATAAAACATGGTTCATGCCCTCTATGATCTTACAATCCAGTTGGGAACCCATAAACTATATACCTAAAAACGTGTGTGTAGTTTATATGTACAGACGTGTATGAAAAGAAAATCAACTTCACTAATAAGCAAATAACTGGAAAACGCATCATTACTATACTATAAACTTAAGGACAAAGACTATGCTCTGTCCACAGCTATACAGATTGTGCTGTGTCCTGGCACACAGCTGGTACTTGATAAAAAATACAAGGCAGTCTGTAATTTGCTACTAAACCTAGTGGTAGAAACAATAGTTACCGTGGGAATTCAAATAGGAAGAAACTGATGAAGGCTAGATGATCTGAGCTACTTTATTACAATTTTATTACAAGATGAGTTAAAAGAATCCTTATAAGATTTTGAGTAGGCAGAAGAAAACACTGCTAAAATGAATTCAAGAAAAAAAAGTAACAGAATGAGTTATATGAATAAGAAAATATTTCTTACTGGAGTAGAGTGACTCTTGCTGAACCATATTAAGTTAGAAAAATAGGTTAGGGTCAAATTATGAAGGGTCTTAAAAATCAGCGGTATGAAATAATGATACTCTGGGGTTTTTTTTTGTTTTTGAGAAGGAGTCTCACTCTGCCACCCAGGCTGGAGTGCAGTGGCATGATCTTGGTTCATTGCAAGCTCCGTCTCCCAGGTTCACGCCACTCTCCCATCTCAGCCTCCGGAGAAGCTGGGACAAGAGGCGCCTGTCACCATACCCGGTTACACCTGTTTTTGTATTTTTAGTAGAGACGGGGTTTCATCGTGTTAGCCAGGATAGTCTCGATCTCCTGACCATGTCATCAGCCTGCCTCAGCCTCCCAAAGTGCTGGGATTACAGGAGTGAGCCACCATGCCCGACCAGTACTCCAGTTTTTGAATAGAAAAGTAAAACAATGAAAGTGATGTTTACGAAAGATTATCCTGAATTCACAAAAGAATAAATACAAATGGTCAGTAATAAGAATAAATATGGGCAACATAGTGAGACCCTGTTTCTAAAAAAAAAAAATAGTAAAACGTAAGAGGAGTGGAGCAAGATGGCCAAATAGAAGCCTCCACCGATCATTCCTCCTGCAGGAACACCAAATTTAACAACTCTCTACACACACAAAAACACCTTCATAAGAACCAAAAATCAGGTGAGCACTCACAGCATGTGGTTTTAACTTCATACCACTGAAAGAGGCACTGAAGAGGGTAGGAAAGATAGTCTTGAATCACCAATGCTACTCCTCCCTCATCCCCCAGCAGCATCCGTATGGCACCGAGAATCTGTGTGCTTGGGAGAGGGAGACAGCAGCAACTGTGAGATATTGCATTGAACTCACTGCCACCCTTTCACAGCAGAAAGCAAAAGCAGGCTGAACTCAGCTGACACATGCCCATGGAGGGAGCATTTAGACCAGCCCTAGACAGAGGGGAATCGCCCATTCCAGCAGTGAGGACCTGAGTTCTGGCAAGCCTCACAGTGTAGGCTAAAGGGCTCTGGGGCTCCAAATAAACTTAAAAAGCAGTCTAGGCCACAAGGACTGTACCTTCTAGGCAAACCCTAGGGCTGAGATGGGCTCAGATGCATACAACTTACTGAGACACCAGCCAGCACAGCTAAGAGAGTGCTTGTACCACCCCTCCCCCAACCCCAGGCAGCACAGCTTGCAACTTCAAAAGAGCCCCCTTCCTTCTGCTTGAGGAGAGGAGAGGGAAGAGTAAAGAGACTTTTGTCTTACATCTTGGATACCAGCTCAGCCATAGTAGGATAGGGTACTGGTCAGAATCATTCCAGGTCCTAGCTCCCAGACAACATTTCTAGACAC